AATTTGTTAACTCACAGCATCTGAATTACAATTTTCAGCCTGCTCGGGCTGTGTCAGAGGTTTGCAATATCTTCTCATACAGCAGGTCAGAGGGATAACTCTGGGCCATAGTGAGGAAGGAGTTTGTTAATGCATGGAATTACACTGTGATGTAAATAAAAGCATACTTCCAGTAAAATCACATTTTGCAGATCAGTAGTGGGCCTGTTGCTGGAGACCTTTTATGCACCAGGGATGTTTGTGATGTATGGCTCAACACAGGGTGAATTTTTCTGAAAAGCACATCCTTTTATTAGGGTGCAGGCAGAGGGGAGTATGGACTTGTGGATATGGGATAGCCTGGTGGGAAGATTCATCCCTTTGCATTCTGGAGGTTTTCCTACCCTGGAGCAGCCCCGGAGGTGCAGCTCCAGTAACAGCTGCCCCACTGAGTGCTGGGCAGTGGCACACCAAAGTCAGTCCCTTCTGGCTCTGGCCAGCACGTGGTGGCTAAGGAGCCATGCTGGTGGTGCATCCCTCCATCTCCAGCAGGAGATGCGTGTGTAGGCAGGGCCTGAATGGCTACAGAGACAGGGCCTGTAGAAAGGCAAATCCTTGAGATTTATCTATAGCTAAACCGAAAAAAAGAACCCCCCCCCCCCCCAAAAAAAAAGTTAAGACACCGAAAGAAAATTAAAATCAACTTTGTGTTGCTCTTTTCCTGAGCCATGTAGTAAGTGAATACATTCACTAAGCACATGGCTGTTCATATTACCAAAATGTACTAGACCCACCCAGAGTACACCTCAGGCTCTGGCCTGGTAAAACAAAGTAAGTAGGTATTGTCCTTTCTGCATGCCACTGATACTGAGCAGTTCAGGAGCACAGGGGTTTGCTGGGGGGCTATCCGTGATTAGTGCCATTAGCAAGGTGTCCCCCTTAAGCTTCTAGTAGCACACCAGGATGAAACTGAAACAAGTTCAGGCTTCAAAGTGCAATAGTCAAAATGATGATTGCCCTTGTGGGAAGATGGATGCCCTTAATAGAGCTTTTTTGTTATCTCTGACCTCCTGTATGAAAAAAATTGAGCTTACTGATGCAATATTTTAGAAAGCAAACCCCTTCCTTCCATGTGAATGAATTGGGTGGTTAAGCAACTGTGGGTTTTTTCCACCTGGCTCTCTAATAGAAAAGCCTGTTTGGAAGAAAATGAACTTTTCATTTATTGTTGGTTTGGTTTTGGTGGGGTTTTTTGTTGTTGGTGGTTTTTGGTTTTGTTTTTTAAGCTCAGCAGTCAAAAGATAAGATTGAGAACTCAAATCCAGTCTCTGGCCTCCTCCTTCACCAGGAAGTGTATTCTGACTAAATCAAGCCACCCCGTTCTATGTGCACTGTTCTGCCTTTATTAAGTTGCTTTGCAGCCCCGGCCTTATGGCTGTGCCACTGAAGTGTGTTTCCCCTGGAGTGACATGAACGTTTGAGGCTTGACTAAGAAGAAAAAAAAGGCAGTGAAGGAGACTGTACATAAAGACATGGCAAAAATATTAATTATAGCAATATAGTTGTGGGGTGATGTTCCGGTGGGCAGCTCCATTGAAAATATGTGAATGAATTTGTGAAGCTGCAAGTAGCGAGAAGAAAGGAGGATCTTCTGAATGAACCGCCTACCTTGTAGACAGTAATTTGTACACTGTATAGTTTTGTTAAGATTTTTTTTTTTTAATTAAAATACCCTTGTTTGTAAAGCTAACTTTTTAACAATTATAATGGAAATGCATGTCATTTCCATTTTTAAAGTAAACAAGAATATTCCTTGTTTGGAAACTGGACTTGAGTTAAAACTCTCCAGTTTCTTAATTTATGTATTAAAAAAAAATCGTCCATGTTAGGAGTTATTTCGCAGATTCCTGTGCTTGAAAAGCATAGGTTACTAATCCTTTAAAAATGTAAATGGAGAAAAGTTATATTTTATGAAGGTTATTTTGTTGTATTTAGTATTGGAAAAGTTGGTTTTCAGAGCATTTCAAAATGTTGGAAGCACCACTGTCTTTTTATTAGTATATATGGCCTTTAGCAAAAGTTTTTGTGATTGTTACATGATGGTATTTAAGATTAGGTTCACAGAGCAATTCAGGATAGGCAGAGAACTAAAACAGTACTTATGTCTCACATAGCTGTGTCCTCAGGGAGCAGAATTTCGGATTTGCAACTTGTAGCTTCATAAGGACTTAATGAAAGAGATTGCACAAGGACACACTCAACTGTGACACCGGAGTGTGTTCTGTACCTAAATCTAAATTATATTTACTGTGTGAGATTATGAAGGCTGCAGAAAGTTATCCCATATTCAGTGTACAGTATTCACTTTTAATGAAACAACTCTCTAATGTTGCTGGCAGTAAGGCCCCAGGCATGACATCCAATATATTTTACATGATCCTGTCAAGGTCTTTTGTTAACATTAACCAGCTGCATGCTCCTGGACTTTTTTATTGGGTTTCTATAGAAAACTTAAAAAAAAAAAAGAGAGAGAGAGAGTAAAATCATATGCAGGCTAATCAAGTTAAACAGGAAAAGCTCAAAGTTGAATGTTCCACTCCATGCTGAAGGAGCTGAAAACTGCCTCCTTCTTATTTGCACTTTCTGCTAGTTCCCCAGTTTTTTCTAATTCCTCAAAATTGTGTGGGTGTGGTGGAGCACTGCAGTTGGAGGATAACACGGACCACTGATTTTGCCCTTTAACCCTGCACAATGACCTTTGCATCAGCCAAACTTATTGCCATGACAACTCTTTGTACTGTTTCCATGCCACAGCTCTGTTGGTCACATTGTTAATAGTAAAGGGGACAAGTTGGAGACGGTCAATTTTTACATTTTTTGTTGCAATTTTTTCTTCAATGGTTGTAAGTAGTTTGTTTTGTTTTTGTTTTTGTTTTTTTTTAATGATAAAAGGGTTCACTAGTTATTACTCTTTAGAAATATCTGTGTGTTGCAATTCAAATGTATGTTGAATTTGTGAAAAGGGCTTCAGTGCCACTAGCATCATAAGATCCCAGAATAAGCCTTTGATACTTTTATTGCATGATACGGTAACAGTAAAACAAAAGGTGGCCTAAATAAATGGAGAGCAGTGTGAGCTAGTGACACTAAAGCCAGTCTTTGTATTACTGTATTTTTGACAGAATAGTTTTGAAAACTGTGCTACAGGGACTGATGTGGCAAATGTATCTCTATATGCAGAAGGAGGTTTTTTTAAGAAGTATGGCTTATTATGCATTCTTCATTGAGGGCATTGAAGTTGCATGGACTGATCAAAGTTGATGCAAAATGAGAAAGAAACAAAAACCAGCAAAATGTTTACCAAAAAACTCAAACAAATGAGCAGTGCCTGTTCAATTTCACAGTCTCTGTTGAGTTCAGTTGTAAATATGTTTCAGATAACATTTTCTTCTTCTTCTTCAAAAAAAATCTC